GACAAGAGTGGCGAGGACACGAGGGACAACAGGACAACCGGCACGGTAGTAGTCAGTGACAGGAGTAGGGGGGGAAGGGAGAGAGGACGGAGGAGGAGACGGGAGAACGGACTCAGGAGGAGGACGACGAAAAGACGAACAAAGGAGGGCCGTGCGGAGGTCGGGAACGGGAGACGAGTGACGAGCACGCGGAGGACAGGGACGGACACGAGAGTGCGGGACAACAGGTGGAGTTGACTGCGGAGGAGGAGAAGACCAGACCGCCGGACTGGCGTCAGGAGGAGGAAACGTGGGACCAAACGCTGGAGGGGACAAAGTGTGAACAGGAGGAGAGGAGGGAAGACCAAGGGCCCGAAGGCCACTCACGAGTGGGAACAACTGCCGCTCCAGAGGGAGCTGCTGCGGTCGCAGCTGCGGCGGCGGTGTCTGCTGCTGCTGCGGCTGCGGCTGCTGCTGCTGCTGCTGCTGCTCCAGCAGGTCCAACCGCCGCAACTCCTGTCGCTCCCTCTCCAACAGCACCTGCTCCTCACGCTCACGCCGACGGGCCGCCTGGAGACGCGTGTCGTGGCGGTGGGGAGGCAGAGTGGACTCCACAGAACCAGTGTCTCCAGCTCCAGTCTCCTCAGAACCAGCACCTCCAGTGCCAGCGCCTCCAGCACCAGCGCCCCCAGAACCAGCACCTCCAGTGCCTGCGCCTCCAGCACCGGCACCCCCAGAACCAGCACCTCCAGTGCCAGGACCTCCAACTCCTGCACCCCCAAAACTAGCACCTCCAGTGCCAGCACCTCCAACTCCAGCAACCCCAGAACAAGCACCTACAGTGCCAGCACCTCCAGCTCCAGCATCCCCAGAGCTAGCGACACCTGCGCCTGCGAACGAGCACCGAAGGCCGAAGGCTGCTGAGGGGACTGTGAGGAGGACTGCGGGGAGGGAGACGCTACCTGACGCGCGACCGAGGGTAGAGGGGTAGCGTGGGACACACCAGACGGGGCAGGACCAGGGGGGGGCGGGGGGTACCGGAGGAGCAGGAGCAGGAGGAGGAGAAGGTGCGAGGAAAAGGGAGGGAGGGGGTACCGGGAGACCTCGACAGGGGTACCGGGCGTAGTAGGATACTGACTCGTCGTTCCGGACGTCACGGGAGTCTAGGAACTGGTGGAGGGGCGGGTGGTAAAAGGACCAGTCGGCCGAGGCTACCGGGAAACCAAGGAAGACACAGGGGACGGCGCGAGCTGAGAGCTTGTCCGCAGAGGTGTCGCAGACAAGTGCAAGGCAGCCCCAGACACGAAAATCTGACCCAACACCAGGGGACCCGGTCCAAAGACTGGTCGGTGAAGCCTCTGGCCGCGAGACGCGCGGCTGGAGGTTCAGTTGGTGAGCGGCGTAGCGAACCGCGTAGGGCCACAGAAAACGGGGCGCACGGGCATGAATCATGGACGTGCGGGCGATGTCCATAACCAAACCAATGCGGCGCTCAGCAACCCCATTATGCTGTGGGGACTCCGGCAGCGTCCAGGACTGTACGATGCCCTGCTCGCCGCAGAATCCGGCAAGAATGCCTGAGCGAAACTCACCCCCACGGTCAGAGTGGAGACAGGAGACACGACGGCCACGAGTGCCCTCAGTGGCTAGAAGCCACCGGATCAGCGTAGAAGTCACCTCGGACTTCTTCGCGAGAGGAAACACCGTGGTGTACCTGGAGAAGTCGTCGACGACCACCAGAAAGTAGCGCTCCCACTCAGGTCCCTGCGTAGGTGCAGGGCCCCAGACATCCAAGTGGAGTGTCTGGAAGGGAGCAGTGGCCGGACGAAGGGAGGAGGAGTACGGAGTGGCACGAAGACGGCCGGCGACGCAAGGAGTGCACGGCGGCGCAGGCGAGGGAGGGAGCGACGGGAAGACGCGAGGGAGACGTGAAACAAGACGGTAACTAGCCATAGTGCGGAGGCGGGGGGTCGACGGGTGGCCAAGACGGTGGTGCCACAAGACGGTCTGGTGGGTGAAAGACCGACACGAGCAAGACGCAGCAACTAGACCAGATACAGCAACCTGACCGGACACAGCAACCTGACCGGACACAGCAACCGGTGGGGACGCAGTAACCTGACCGGACTCTGCTACCGGGGGGGACGAAGCAACCTGACCAGACGCAGCTACCTGCGGGGGCGGAGTGTGCACGACGAAGAGACCTGAGTGGGGCTCTCTGGTGAACGTGGCAAGAACTGCCCCGGTGGAAGAGTCCGTACAGATCGCAGTCCTCCCGTGCGCAGGAAAAGTGACTGTGATTCCCCTGTCCTGAAGGTATCCAACACCCACCAAGTTCCGAGAGAACGAGGGGATGTAGAGACCAGTGAGGAAACCAGAGGGGACAGCTGGGCACGGGAGAGTGGTCGAGCTGCGAGCAACTGCTGGTCCTGAAGTAGGATCAGCCAGGGCAACTGGGACTGGAGCCGAAAGAGGTGTGACAGTGGTGTGGTCGCGGAAGAAGCACTGAGACGCGCCGGAGTCCAGCGTGAAGGAGAGCGACGCAACAGCAGTCGTCACGGCTGGGCTAGTGACTACACAAGCACCTACACTAAAAGCACAAGTACCGACACTAGCAACAGGCAAAGGTCCTAAGCTAGGTACACGTAAGCCAAGAGATACGTACGTGGCATAATAAACAACATCCATAGACATATCAAACACAGGGTAACCACTACGAAACAGACCGGGCCAGATCGGGGGAGCCGACTCAGGCCCAAAACGCTCACGGTAAAGGTCGTCGAGGCGGCTGTAGCAGCGCTGTGCAGAGTGGTCAGGACGACAGCAGGTAGTGCCAGCACCAGGGCCGGTCAGGATCCGGTACTGGCAGGGGCCGACGTCGCGGCCACCGCGACGAGCCCCCCAGCTGGCTGGGCCGCTGCTGCAGCCAACGCTGCCCGAACCACCAGGCCCCCACGGCTGCTGAGGGCGCCACAACTGCTGAGGGCGGAGCTGCTGCTGAGGGCGCCCCTGCTGCTGCGGAAGCCTCTGCTGAAACGGCCGTAGCTGCTGTCCCTGCTGCTGAAGAACCCCAGTGGACTCCATGATAAAAGCTAGCGGGGTGCAGGAGCGACAGGCTAGGAGCGACAGGAGCTAGGGACGGCTGCAGTGAAAAACGAGAACAACTAGGAGCGCCAGGTGAAACTAGGCGAGTAACTGCTGGAGCACGGAGCGAACTAAGCTAGGAGCGCCAGGTGAAACTAGGCGAGGAACGGCTGGAGCACGGAGCAAACTCAGCTAGAAGCGCCATGTGAACTAGGTGAGGAACGGCCGGAGCACGGAGCAAACTGAGCTAGGAGCGAGGAGCGAGAACGGCTGGAGCAAGAACGGCTGGAGCACAACTGGCTGGAGCTAGAAACGGCGAGCTAGGGCTGGCTGGAGGTAGGAACGGCCGGAGCTAGAAACGTAAGTGCGGCTGTCGGTTGCGGCTAGTAGAGCCACTGGCAGTGGAAAGTACGTGCGACAGTAGGGGCTGCAGTACTGACGGCTGCGGGATGGAGGCAACTGTGCAGGTCGTCCGGCAAGCAGGAACGCGGGCGACGGGCTAGGGCGCGGGCTGGGGCGACGGGCGAGGGCGCGGGCTGGGGCGACGGTTAGGTCGCGGGCTGGGGCGACGGGCCAGGGCGCGGGCTGGGGCGACGGGCCAGGGCGCGGGCTGGGGCGACGGGCCAGGGCGCGGGCTGGGGCGACGGGCCAGGGCGCGGGCTGGGGCGACGGGCTAGGGCGCGGGCTGGGGCGACGGGCCAGGGCGCGGGCTGGGGCGACGGGCCAGGGCGCGAGCTGGGGCGACGGGCTAGGGCGCGGGCTGGGGCGACGGGCCAGGGCGCGAGCTGGGGCGACGGGCTAGGGCGCGGGCCTGGGCGACGGGCCAGGGCGCGGGCCTGGGCGACGGGCTAGGGCGCGGGCCTGGGCGACGGGCTAGGGCGCGGGCCTGGGCGACGGGCTAGGGCGCGGGCCTGGGCGACGGGCTAGGGGCGCGGAGGGCGCTAGGCGCGGAGGTCCGCGACGGCGCGGGCTAGGGGCGCGGAAGGCGCTAGGCGCGGAGGTCCGCGATGGCGCGAGCTAGGGCACGGAGGGCGCTAAGGCGCGCGGGCCGAAAACATGGGCTAGGGGCGCGGAGGGCGCTGACGCGCGGAGAGGAGGGCGCTAGGGCGTGGAGAGGGCGCGGAGGGCACGGAGCCTAAGGCGCGGAGGGCGCGGAGGGTGCGGAGGGCGCGGAGGTGCGCTAGAGAGGGCGCGGGCTAGGAAGTAACGACGAACTAACCTACTTGTGATACCATCTCAAAGTAGGAATGCAACGGAATGTGTGATCTAGGGAAACAAGGGATACAAATAGCAACCCTAAAAGTGTTGTACTCCCTAGAGTGCTACTCACTGTAGCCTAAGAACCTGTAATAACATTTGACACCCCCCTCCCATTTAACGAACCGGGGGTCTATAATTTTGGGGGGTCCATTAACCAGGTAATTATAGTAAGTCAATTCTATATTAAAAAATATGTACATTTCATTTTTGCTGTTATATTAGCCCCGGGCCTTAGCGCTAAAAAAAACTCAAATATAAGCGCACCCCTAAAAAGCATGATATTAGCTTATATTAATATACGGTACGTTAATATAGCTCAATATTATTGATGATGATATATATATTACATCCATGCAGTACTAATCATAAATTTTATACGCCATCAGCCAACTTCCACTGTATGTCATTTAAACTGGAGGCTTCTCAGCCTCCCCATCCCACCTCCAGGCTTGTGCGTCATTCATTGGCAACTATGCACCAGCCATTGTTTCCGAGAAATGAAAGGTACAAATTCAGCCCAGATTCACTCATTCGTCAGTCCAGTCTTCTTCACGAAACGCAAATATGGCTGCAATCAAGCTTCTTCCCCTGATTCTCTCACGTGAGTTTCTTTGTCCTCCTCGCGCTAACCAACTGTGAAGGAAGAACTTGTTCTTACCTCGCATTTTGTTTGGCAGTCTTGTTTGTTTCTGCGAAAGGAGCGGAGGATGGCATTCCATGCCGTCGCTTTCCCCTCAATGTGATGATTCTTACATTTGGTATTATTTCGATGTTAAAGACCTTCATTGACGCTACCCAATGCGTTTCAGGGATGCGACTTTTACTTCAACGGAAGTCTCAGTACTATTCCCAGTTTCAACATCGGAGAAGTTTCAGGAAACAGTATTTTGTCCCATGCTAAGATATTTCACAGGTACGGCTCTGTGGTGTCTCCGAAGGACTTCCAACAATGGCTGACTGAGTTTATTGATTCCAACAGAAACGGCGAGAGGCTCGTCACAGCATCTTCGAACCATTGCGATTTTTTTAATGACACAGTACGTGTTACTCATTCTCGTACCTCGCATTTGTTCCTTGGAAGGTTCTAACATATTGTGCATCAGGAATCGTGCGGGACGACATTCTTTTTCATGAGCGAGATTGACGACTGGAATAAAGCGGATGTTGTTGGAGCTCATCCAATCCCGTCAGAGGTCATTCAGGTGCGAATGTTGTAGTAGAGAAGCAAATGATTACTATATACTGACATGCCATTGCTCTTCAGGATTTCACGGGGAAGTGCGTGATACTTCGTGTCAGCAACTTCTACCTGAGCAAGAGTGGTTGGATAAACGATGGCGACAGCCGAAAAGGGTTTCCACAGGTGAGCTTGGGTTATGGCGGCGGTTCATCTTGTCCAATACACATCTGGCATCTCATCTTGTATTTGCAGAGCCGACGATGCCTCATTTTCAAGACGGGCAACGGCACAATGTTGACAGAAGACTTGCGACGACTGTGAAGAAGCCCTACAACGTGCAAGGACGTTCGAGCTTGTGACCAGCGGGAGGGGAGTAGAGAGTCCAGTGCAAATTAGGGAGGGGTGGATCAATCTCGGATGGAACATCAAGTGTGTGGCTTACCTAACCATTTAGATAGGCTTCAAAAAAGAGTTTGTTTGTTGTGCATATATAGTCACTCCTACTCGTCATTTTAAAGCCCGAGTCTAGAATGGTAAGGCTTCAAGAATACTGAACTTGAAAGGTGTTGGGAAAGCGACGGAATGGGCAAGCGATGGTCATGTGAAGGCCAGCGACATCATGGGAAGGAGTGGGAGATACTCAGAGTAAGCGTGGGTGACGGACGCGGTAAGGGAGAGCTACCTAAAAGGCGACTGGAGGGGAGGCGAATTCAAGTTCAAGAATCTTGAACTTGGAAAGTTGCCATTCTAGACTCAGGCAGTTCAATTTTGTTGTTAGCATACTGTGCCTTTGCCTTGGATGATGGACACGATGCTGGTTAGTAAGGCTGATAATGGTTGAGCGTACAGGGTCCAAATCCACCCCCAGGAATTGCCTTAAATGGCGCCATGCCTAAATAGCCGCATGCATGGCCTCATACAAGAGAATGCTGGCCTCAGCACCCAGCACCTGCGCCTCCCTCACCTCACTCACATGCTCATCTGACACACTGAACCACCGACTGTCCCCTCCTCGCACCACACCTGCCACCTCTCCTCTCTCGCTTCTCCCGCCTCCACCACCTTTGTCGCCTCCCCCCCCTGTGTTCTTAGCCTCGTCCCTGCACACGCGGCGGAACGCAGAGTAGTGGCCGCTCTGAGGCCCTCCATGGTGCACCACCACGGCGACCAGGCGGTACCAGCACCCACCACTGCCACTCGCTGCCACCGCCGCACTTGATGCCCGTGCTGACAGGTGCGAGGGCGTGCACGCGGGTGGGAAGGGTGAGAAGCGGGATGATGGGAGTGGTGCGGCGGCCGCCAAGGGAGGGTGTGCAGTGCTGTGACGAACACAAATTCTAGTGCTATCTTGATTGCTGCCTGAGTTTCCCGGTGTTGCCTTCTCGGTTTCTCCAACAATTTCAGAAACCTGCATCTCGTTATTGCTGCTGCTGTTGCTATTACTGCTCCTCTTCATGCTGCTTTTACTGCTGCTGCTGCTGTTGCTGTTGCTGCTCCTTTTCATGCTGCTTTTACTGCTGCTGCTGCTGCTGTTGCTATTGCTATTGCTACTGCTGCTGCAATTGCTGCTATTGCTATTGCTGCTGCCGATGCTTGTTTTGCTAGCGCCTGTTTGCTCGCCGTCGCTGCAGTGCTGGTGTCTGAGGCTGTCACAAGGCCCTGGCACAGCCTCCGGGGGCACAAGGCCATGTGAGGGAACTGGGGCGCATGAGGCACCTATGGTGTTGGAAAGGGCAGGGCCATGTGGAGGGGCTGGTGCATGCACTGGGTGGTCACTGGCAGCAGTCACATGTAGCTGTGACGCACATGCCTTCCCGCTCTGCACACTGCTGCCCTGCACACCGCCCTCGCTCCCTGCACCAGCAGCAGCCGCGACTGGCGCCCCACATGTGCTGGTAGCAGCAGAGGCAGCTGGAGCGCACCCTTTTGAGCTTGCCATTGCACCCTCTGCAATCGTGGTGTTCATTACAGCAGCAGCAGGGCGAGCAGGAGGGGTTGCAGTGGAGTGAGAGGCAGGGCGACGTGGAGGAGGGGAGGCGGCCCAGAGGAAGGGGAAATGCAGCGGTGGGGCGCGGGATGCTTGGCAGTGGTGGGAGAGCGGTGAGGAGGGGACAAAGGTTGTGGGGACAGGGCTAGCGTCGGTTGTTAAGACATGGGAGAGCAGGGATGGTTGGAAAATGAAGGGGAGGGAGGGGTTAGGAGAGAGAGAATGGGCAAGGGGTAGAGTGGGTGAGGCTGCCGGAGCAAGGGAGGGCTGAGAGGTGGACAGTGGGTGCAGTGGGGACGCGGGGCGAGAGGTGTATGCTAGAAGAGAGAATGGCGAGAGGTCGAGGAGAAGGGGGAAGGGGATGTGGTCCTGTGATGGAAAGGGAGGGGGGTGGGGAGAGTGGATGGGAGCATATGTTCATGAGTATGCAAGCATCGCATGGAAAGGCAGTAAAATTCTTGAATCAGTCATTGGCATAGCCACCCGGACACACACATGCATGCATGCTCTCGTGCACACCCACAAACGGTATGCATGCATATGCAAACGCACACACGGAAGCAAAAAGAGCGAGGAGGCAGAGCACGTAGCAGCATGTGTGCAATACAGAAATCACTGCTCTCGTTGGACTTGGCAGGCAGTGGAGCACGGAAGTTCACTCACATGCGCCTTGTGCAGCGCGCCCCAAGGGGAGAACGCCACTCGCTGCACCTGAATGCACGCCACCTGGGAAGTGGCGTGCACGTGCCATGAGAGATGAGTGGTACGAAACCAACAGGGATCCCGAATGCTCATGACGGAGAGCAGGGGAGGAGAAGGCAGGCTGGCATGGGGCGAATGTGGAGCGTGGTGGTTGAATGCGTGTGGTAAGCGAGGCAGTGTGGAAGCGGAACAGAGAGAGGTGCACAACGACAAGTATGTAAGTGCCTTCTTACCTGCCCATACCCATACCCATACCCATACCCATACCCATACCCATACCCATACCCATACCCATACCCATACCCATACCCATACCCATGCCCATCCCCATCCCCATCCCCATCCCCATCCCCATCCCCATTCCCATCCCCATACCCATACCCATACCCATACCCATACCCATACCCATGCTCATGCCCGTGCCCATGCCCCGCACGGGAGCATGTGCGTGGCAAGCCATGGGGGGCGCCAGGGTGCAGCACGGTCACCTGTGGCAGGCGTGCGAGCAGCAGGCGCTTGAGCGCAGGGCGCCTCACACACGGCCACGGGCGGGCGGGCAGCAGCGCTCTCAGGCGCGCGGGGCAGCGACAGGCAGTGCTGTCAGCCGCCGTGCACGCCTGCAGGGCTGCCAGCAGCGCCTGGTCGCAGGGGAGGGGGTCAGTGCGGCGGGGAGAGATGAGAGCGGCAATGATGGCACAGATGAGAGGGGGACAGGAGAGAGGGGGAAAGGAGAAAGGGGAAAGGAGAGAGGGGAAAGGAGAGAGGGGGAAAGGAGAAAGGGGAAAGGAGAGAGGGGAAAGGAGAGAGGGGAAAGGGAGAGGGGAAAGGAGAGAGGGGGAAAGGAGAGAGGGGGAAAGGAGAGAGGGGGAAAGGAGAGAGGGAAAAAGGAGAGAGGGAAAGGAGAGAGGCCGAAACGAGAGAGGGAAAGGAGAGAGGGGGAAAGGAGAGAGGGGGACGGGATGGGTGATAAGGATAGAAAGAGAGGGAGGGAGGAATTTGCTGCAAATTGAAAGGGCAACAGTTGCAGACTTCTATAGTGCTGCTGCACAATCTCCTGCACGCACCTCCATGTCCTCTTGCCGCTTGCCCGTGTGCCCACATGACTCTCCCTCCCCCACATCCCTGGGCTCCACTGCTCCTCGCCCTCCCACTGCTGCTGCTGCCACATCCACAACGCTGCTTACCGCACCAGCTTCTACCACCAGCGCAGAGGCAAGTGGCGCTTCCGTGCCATGTGCACGCGCATGGCCACGAGCATCCCTCGCTGCCTGCCCATGCCCCTCGGGGTCCATACATAACACCACATTGCCAGCATTGCGGCGTGTTCCCTCATGCCCCGGTTGATCTTCCTGCTGCTGCTGCTGCTGCTGCTGCTGCAGTGCCATGGCAGATCTCACCATGCCAGCAGCCGCCACGTGGCAGCAGCTAGGGCATGTGACGTCTGACACCTGCTCTGGTGCCGTGTAGCTGCGCAGCAAGGACTTGAGCGACATGCCGTGCTGTGCCACCAGCCATGGAGGGCGGCCGGGAGGGAGGGCGAGAGGTAGGGAGAGAGGGCAGTAAGCTGGAATTGACACTAAATGAAAGTGTGTAGAGATGCTTGAGCACAAACAAGGTAAAAGAAAATAAGTGATGTGCAGTGGAGAGGAGAAGCAGGCGTACCGGGGAGCAGGGGGGGAGTGGCAGCGAGATGTCGGTGCACGGCTGCACGCTGCTGGGGAACTGCACGTGGGAGGCAGGGGCGAGGAGGCAGGGGCGAGGAGGGCACGGCCGTGGTGGCGTGATGTGAGACCATGCGGGCATTGCGGGACCGAGGAAGCGAGAGCACGAGCACTGGTGTGCAGTGCAGACAAGGCCGGTAGAGAGCAGCATGGCAGGGCATGCATGCGAGGCACCAAGACACCCTTTTCTTCACCCATGTACCATGCCTGCGCACCCTGCTGTCAACTGGTTTGCAGCCTCACGCCCACCTGGTAACCGCATGCAAGGCATGCGAGGAGGCTGACGGCCGTGCCTGAGAGCGGCCACTGCAGCAGCGCATCACACGGCAGTGCACTCGCACGCACGGGCCAAGGGGCCTGCTCGGTGCACGCATGGGAGGAGGCAGCAGCAAGCGAGGCAGGGTGATGCTGCTCCTGCTGCTGAGAGCATGCTGCCGGCGTGCTGCCATGCTCCCCTTGCGCGTCTGACTCTTGAGCGCAGCACCTCCCACCCCCTTCCTTCTGCTGTCCCTCCATTAGCCCCACTCCCTGATTCTCCTCCCCCCCGTGCCCCCCTGCTGCCCCCGTGCTGCCGCCCCCTGCACAGCCCTGCGGCCCTATTGCAAAGCCAGGTGAGCTGCCGTGCCCGTGCCGCCTCTCCTCCCCCACCCGTGCCATCGCACCCTCCTCCATCCCTGCTGCACCTGACTGCTGCACAGCGCGCCCTAATCCCGCGCTGCCTGTGCCCCCATGCGTGCATGCATCGCACGCATTGCAGGCCGGCTGCAAGCATCGGTCACCCTCACACCTCCCACCCTCCCTTCCTTGGTCCCCCTCCCCACAGTCTACACTCCCCCCCCGCCCCTCCCCCCCCACTGTGCCCTCTACTCCACTGCATCCCGCCCCGCCCTGCACCGCGCGCCACACGCCATGCACGCGCCAGCGCGCCCCACCGCCGTCGCCCCCATGCGCCCCATCCCCCGCGAGGGAGCAGAGGCCGGGCAGGTGCAGGGGCGCGGAGGAGAGGTGCAGGTGGCGCTGCAGGGGCGCCAGGTCGCGCAGCAGGGCGCCCGCCAGCAGCGCCAGCGCCTCCATGCAGTCCTGGGCGCGGGGGGGGGGGGAGGGGAGTGGGGGGATCCGAGGCAGAGCGCGAGGAGGCCGTTAAGTGAGAGAGAACGAATGCTGGAGGCAGTGGAATGGGGACAGGCACGGGGAGAGATGAGAGGAAGAGCAACAGGGTCGCATCAGCGACATGGAAACAAGCAGACAGGCAAGCACGGGGTGGGGGGGCGGGAGAGATGGTGTGTGGGGCGCGGCGCGGCACACCTGCTGGTGGTGGAAGTTGAAGCGCGAGTCATGAGGCGCGAGCGCACGCAGAAACGCACGAGAGCACGCCACCTGGCGCCCTGTGATTGGCTCTGAGAGCGCTGTGAGAGGGAGGGAGGGAGGTGAAGAGTGTATGGGTGGTGAGTGGGCACAAGGCGGGGCTAAGGCACGCCAGAGAGGAGAGGAAAGGAGAGGAGAGGAGAGGAGAGGAGAGGAGAGGAGAGGAGAGGAGAGGAGCGGAGAGGAGAGGAGAGGAGCGGAGAGGAGAGGAGTGGAGAGGAGAGGAGAGGAGCGGAGAGGAGAGGAGAGGAGGGGAGAGGAGAGGAGAGGAGAGGAGAGGAGAGGAGGGGAGAGGAGAGGAGGGGAGAGGAAGGGGTACCTTGGAGCAGCGAATGAAGAGCTGCTGTGAGAGGCAGGTTGACGGCAGTGGTAGTGGCAGTGGCGGCGAGGTGGTGTGATGATAGCGAGACTGCAGCGTGCAGGAAGGCACGCACTGATGCACTGCTGGCTAGTGACTGGTGCATGCCCACACACGCACGCACATGCACAGTCACATGCACATGCAACACGCACGCATGCACGTGCGGCGCGCGCGCGCACGCACGCACACACACACACACACACACACACACACACACACACACACACACACACACACACACACACACACATACATGAAGGCAGGTATGGGAGATGGCGGGAAGACGGAAACAAGGCGAAAAGGGGTGTGGCGATGTTGAGGCAGGCGTGTGCGCAAGGCAGCACACCACTCACGAGCCATGGCTACACGTTGCTGCGTGCCGGTCCCACGCCACGCCTATCGCGCCCTCCCTCTACTGCGTCACCTCACAGATTTCCCTCACGCCAAACGCGTGTTGCCGTGTGCGCGGTGCGTTGCATGTACCTGTAGAGTCGCATTGAAGTAGCATAAGTTCGACGGGTTCTGCAGACCCGCTATTGTCCACGCCTCGATATAAGTCCCGTCCTCCACATCATCGCCTTCCGCTGAAGCCGTCCGATTGCGACGCCTCTCGTCATCCGACGGCTTGGATCGGATCAGAGCCCAGAAGGCAGCAGCAGCCCCCATCACAGCGGCGGCGGCGGCGACGGCGAGGGGAGCGGATCGCCTCGTGTGGCCTTGCCTGACCCCCATTGCAGGGATCGCGTGGTGTGATGGGTGCGTGTTGGGGACGCTTTGGGTTGGGGAGAAAATGAGAATGACTGCATCTATTTGTGCCGATTGAGAGTGGTCGTGTTCTTTGCAAAGCGAATATGCCGGTAGTATAGTTTACTGGATTACAAATAGGTTTCCCATACAAATTAAGACGCAAACAGATTCGTCGTGAAACTTGCAGACTTCCTTGCCTATTCAGCCAATCTCATTAAAAAAAAAAATACATATAGAAGGTTAAAAATCTAAGATTTATTGTGGCGCTGCTGAAACGGTTGGAGTGTTTTGTCAAATCATATTTATATATCTGTGTTAGATATATTTGGTTGTAGTGAGATGCTGTCAAATGTTTATATGTTATAGATGTTAGTTATCTAGGCTACAGTGAGTTGCCCTCTAAAGGGTACAACATTCTCTAGGTCGACTTGTATCCCATTGTTCCTACTGACTCACACAATTCTCTCGACACTTGTTCCTAGCCTAACTTGAGATGGTATTAGAGTAGGCAATGTTTCTCCCTCCCACGCTTCTGCTCCCTCCCTTAGCCGGTCCCGAGGCGCCCGTCCCTTAGGCCCCGTTTCGTCGCGGGTAGGACGGCCCCCGCGGGCCTCGTTTTCGCGCCCTCCGCGCCCTCCAAAACGAAACCTCCGCGCCCTCCGCGCCCTCTGAAGCGCGCCCTCCGCGCCCTCCATCTCGTGCCTCCGCCCTTAGCTCGTCGCGGGCCCCGTGCGCCCTGCCTTAGCTCGTCCCGGGCCCCGTGCGCCCTGCCCTTAGCTCGTCGCGGGCCCCGTGCGCCCTGCCCTTAGCTCGTCGCGGAGCCTCCGCCCGCCTAGCACGCCTCCGCCCCTCTCGCACCCTCCATCCCGGGCCTGAGCCGTGCGCCCTCTCCTTCGCCCACGCCTGGCGCTTTAGACCGCGCCTAGCCCGCGCCCGAGCCCGTGGCTTAGCCCGCGCCTTACCCCACGCCACGCGCCCTCCGTGCTTAGCCCCGCCCTCCGCGCCGTCCGCGCCCCCCCCCCCCCCCCGTGCTTAGCTCCGCCCTTTGCGCCGTCCGCGCCCTCCGTGCTTAGCCCCGCCCTCCGTGCCTCCCACAGGTCGAGCTCGCGCCCACGCCTTAGCCCTCACCCTCACCTTAGCTTGGGCCCTACCGACGCCCACCGACACTTGGCACTCGTCCCTTTCCCCACCACCACCCTGTTCGCTGAGCCCCAACCATTCTTACTGCCAGTGGTCTCTAGTTCAGCGGCTGGTAGCCGCTTCTCTCGCCGGTCACCTAGGTTCGACCCGTGTGGTCACTAGCTCCTCGCCTCTAGCGCCCATACCTGGAGTTCCTCGCCGTTTCACGCCTAGCCCAGGTCACTCCGTGCTCCTCGCCACTAGCTCCGCCGGTCACTTGCCTCGCAACACCTGGCGCTCCTCCATTTCCCTCCTCGTTCCTAGCTCCGTCTCTTCCGTGCTCCAACCGCCTCTAGCCTAGCCTCCAGTATGGAGTCTCGCCGCCTTCGGTTCGATGCGGAGGGACGCCCGATCGAGTTCAGTACCTGGCAGCGCCAGGCCACGCGCTACCTGACCAGTCAGCGTCAGGACGGCGCTACCTTGTGGGCCCACGCGTCGGGTGCCCTCAAAGCGCCCCTGTCCCCCGCCCCCCTCCCGAACGACCCAGAGCCGACTCCTGCGGCGCAGGCGGACTACGAGCGTCGTGTCTTGGCGAGGGACGTGTGGGACTCTCGCGACGCTGCCGCCGCTCTTGCGCTGACGGAGCTCCTCCCCCCGACTGAGGCCGCCCACTTTGACCAGGTGGAGACAGCTCAGGGGGTTTGGGCTGCTGTTGTTGCACGCTATTCCACCCCTTCCTCTGCCTCCCTCAGTCGCCTCCTCATGCTGTTCGTGTTTCCCGACCTCGGCTCGTTTGCGACTGTGTCCGACCTCGTGACTCACCTCCGCTCACTTGACGCCGGTTTCCGTGCGGCCTGTACCGACGCCCAGCTTCTTGCTGCTCCCCCCCCCATGTGGCTCACTGTGCACTGGTTAGTCACCCGCCTCCCTGACCGCCTTGCCACTGCTCGCGACGCGCTTCTCCAGAAGCACCCCACTGAGCTCACTGTTGATCTCCTTGAGACTGCTCTCGGGACGATCGAGAGTAGCCTCCTCACCGTTGCCTCCGCCACTGACGCGGTGGCCCCCCGTCTCTTTGCGGGGTGTGCCGCCCCTCAGCTTCCCACTTTCACTGCTACCCGCGCTTCTGCTGCTGTGTCGGTTTCTGGGGACACTGCTGCCGTTTCTGCCGCAGAATGGCAGAAACGGGGCAAGAGTGGCAAGAAGGGCGGGAAGGGGGGAGGTGGAGGCGGTGGAGGCGGCGGTGGAGGTGGCGGTGGAGGTGGGAGCGGCGGTGGTGGCGGAGGCGGCGGCGGCGGCGGCGGCGGTGGTGCACCAGGGGGAGGGGGCCTTGGAGGAGGCACAAGATAGACAGGCCCACCCACAGGTGGTGGCCCGACCGGTGGGGGCGTTGCCCCCCAGCAGCAGCAGCCACAGCAGCACCAGCCACAGCAGGGACAGCAGCAGCAGCTGGGACAGCAGCAGCAGCAGGCACCGCAACAGTTCCAGCAGTGGGGGCCCCCGCTGCAGTGGGGTCCGCAGCAGCACTGGGGTCCCCCGCCGCAGTGGGGTCCGGGAGGCCCTGGGAGCACCGGCCGCAGCAGCAACTCTTCCAGCTGGGCCCCTCGCCCCCCTCGCCGTGACGCTGGCCCCTGCACCCACTGGTGCCTCACCGGGCCGGGCAGCCCCTGTCTCTGTGGTCGCGACGACCACTCTGCCGCGCGGTGCTTCCGCCGCCTCGACGACCTCTACCGGGCTCGTTGGGGCCCTCTGGCGGTCACGCCTCGCTGGTCTCGTCTGTTAGCACGTAAGATTGATGTATTTGATCTATCCATGGACGATGCGCGTCAGCATGCTTTGTATGTTGATGCTGACTATAGTGCTGATGGATCTGTGTGCTCGCGTGTTCGTAGTTTCGCTTGCTTGCCTCCTGCTAGTGTAGCCTTGTGCCTGTCTAGCTTAGGTGCTTGTGTTGCTGCTCTAGGTGCTTGTGTAGCGACTGGGTCAGGTGACCCTCCGGCTGAGGCCTCCCTGTCGTTCACGCTGGACTCGGGCGCGTCTCAGTGCTTCTTCCGCGACCACACGACCCTTACACCACTCCTCACACCTGTGTCCGTGGCTCTGGCTGATCCTACCCCTGGACCAGCCATTGCGCGTAGCTCCACCACCCTCCCGTGCCTTGTGGTCCCCTCTGGTGTCATGCGCGGCCTCCACATCCCCTCGTTCACTCGGAACTTGGTGGGTGTTGGATACCTCCAGAACAGGGGGATCACGGTTACCTTCGTGGGGGGTGGGCGGACTGCAGTCTGTACAGACGCTACCACAGGTGCTGTTCTGGCCACGTTCACCAGGGAGCCCCGCTCCGGTCTCTACGTCCTCCACACCGAGCGCTCCCCGGTCGCGTCCTCCCCTCAGGTCGTTGCGTCCCCTCCGGCCCAGGTCCCCAGTCCAGTTGCTGTGTCTAGCCAGGTAGTAGTGTCCGGTCCGGTCGCTGTGTCCAGTCCAGTCGCTGCGTCTTGCTCCTGTCGCTCTCTCACCCACCGCACCGTCCTGTGGCACCACCGCCTTGGCCACCCGTCGCTCCCTCGCCTACGTGGCATGCTCAGTCAAGGACTTGTCTCAGGTCTCCCACGCACCTTCCCGTCGCTCCCTCTCTCGCTTGCCCCTCCTTGCTCTCCGTGCGTCGCCGGTCGCTTACGCGCCACTCCCCACTCCTCCTCCCTTCGTCCGGCCACCACTCCCTTCGAGACTCTCCACTTGGACGTCTGGGGCCCTGCCCCGACGCAGGGGTCTGGGAGGGAGCGTTACTTTCTGGTGGTCGTCGACGACTTCTCCAGGTACACCACAGTGTTCCCTCTTGCGAAGAAGTCCGAGGTGACTGCTACGCTGATCAGGTGGCTTCTAGCCACTGAGGGCACTCGTGGTCGTCGAGTCAGTTGTCTCCACTCCGACCGTGGGGGCGAGTTTCGCTCCGGCATTCTCGGCGGATTCTGCGGCGAACAGGGCATCACCCAGTCCTGGACGCTGCCAGAGTCCCCACAGCAGAATGGGGTTGCTGAGCGCCGCATAGGCTTGGTCATGGACATCGCCCGCACGTCCATGATCCATGCCCGTGCGCCCCATTTTCTGTGGCCCCACGCGGTTCGCTACGCCGCACACCAGCTGAACCTCCAGCCGCGTGTCTCGCGGCCCGAGGCTTCACCGACCAGTCTTTGGACTGGTTCCCCTGGTGTCGGGTCGGCCTTTCGAGTCTGGGGCTGCCTTGTGCTTGTTCGCGACACCTCCGCGGACAAGCTCTCGGCACGCGCCGTCCCCTGTGTCTTCCTTGGTTTCCCAGTGGACTCTGCCGACTGGTCCTTTTACCACCCTCCCCTCCACCAGTTCCTACACTCCCGTGACGTCCGGTTTGACGAGTCCGTGTCCTACTACACCCGGTACCCCTGTCGAGGTCTCCCGGTACCCCCTCCCCCTCTTTTCCTCGCACCCTCTCCTCCTCCTGCTCCCGCCCCTCCGGTACCCCCGCCCCCCCCTGGTCCTGCCCCGTCTGGTGTGTCCCACGTTACCCCTCTACCCTCGGTCGCGCGTCAGGTAGCGTCTCCCTCCCCGCATTCCTCCTCACAGTCCCCTCAACAGCCTTCGGCACTTCCGCAACAGGTTACTGTGGACTCGGTTGGTGTTGGAGCTGGAGGTGCAGCCGCTGGCGGTGCTCGTTCTGGGGGTACTCGGTCGCGGGGTGCTGGAGCTGGAGGTGCTGGCGCAAGTGGCGATAGCTCTGGGGGTGCTGGAGCTGGAGGTGCTGGCGCAGGTGGCGCTAGCTCTTGGGGTGCTGGAGCTGGAGGTGCTGGCACTGGAGGTGCTAGTTCTGGGGGTGCAGGAGCGCGGGGTGC